TCGATGGCGGGAATTTTCGAACGCGGCGCTGCAAGATTCGAAAGTGAATAAAAAAAATAATAAATAAATAAATTGTCTCTGTCACAAAAATGAAATAATAAAATGAAAAATACTTTTAGCTTTTGCGTTACGTAAAACTCGTGCCCTGTACTTTGCCTAAGAGATGGTTAATTTAATGCTTATTTTTTAAATTTTCTTGCAAGCGGAAGATCAGTATGGCCGTTAAAAAGTAAATTCAAACGGGGAAAGAGGCGGGAGATTGGAGGAAAGGTTAACACAGAAAATATTACGTTAGGTTAGGCTGACATTCCTAGAAAAAAGAGTTTGGAAACTGCTGGTAAATAGGTATTGTGTAAATAGATGAATAAATTATAAATGATATACGATAATATCACACATACCTATAATCATAGCTTTGATTTCAAATCGAAATCAGCAGACAACAAGCGTATTAAGTTGATAATAGATAGAAAAAAAAAAAAAAAGTGTAATTCGTATTCATGTTTACTTTTCACTTTCAGAAAAAAGAACAAAAAGTAAAAAAATAATCTTGACAAGAGACCATGGAAAAAAAAGTAACGTGTTAGCTTAGACTCCGTGTATAATGGATTTTATTTCCCGTCACAGACAATAAATCTACATCATTTTTTTCCCTTGGATGTTTAGCAAGTATAATAAGCAATGTTAAACTACCATTAGGTTCAAATGCAAAAAAGGGCAAAAGAGTAGAAGATGAACATGGTAATAATGATAGTGGCAATAGAAAATAATAATAATAATAATGATGATGATAACAACATAATGATAATAATGATAATGAATGATATAATATAATGATAATGATAATAGTAATAATGATGATACTGACGATAATAATAATGATAATAGTAATAATGATGATACTGACGATAATAATGATGATGATAATGATAATAGTAATAATGATGATACTGCTGATAATCATAATGAAAAGAAATAAGAGAAAAATGATAGAAAGAAGAAAAAAAAGGAAGAAAGAATGAATGATAGCGAAGCAGACAAAGAAGTAGCGATTTTTAGAGAGATGTCGGTAGCTTCGCATAATCTTCTATTTTTTGCGGATATGGTGAGCGCGAGAAGGAGAAAACGTCGTATGTAAACACACACACAAACACACACAACACACACACAAACACACACACACACACACACACACACACACACACACACATATATATATATGTATATATATATATATATATATATATATATATATATATATATATATATATATATATATATATATATATATATATATATATATATATATGCATTTCTATATATAGCGAATATTCTCTTTAAGCAGTACTCAAACCGAGCGTCATTTCCCTTGCAAAGAGCGCACGTCTAACCGACACTTCAAATTATCCTCTCACGGGACGGCGTCGTTAAATGCGGGTTTTATGTCCGTAGACTTATGCTGTTCTTCTTTTATTTATTCATTTATTCTATTTTTATTTATCTTTTTTTCTTGGGGGGGGGGGTGGAGGGGCTCTTAGTGTAAAAGATGATGGATATGAGAACTAAATAAGAAGAGAAATTGGGAGAATAATTTAAAAATTCAAAGACAAATAGCGAATAGAGGTGAATGGAAATAAGGCAAAACTGGTACAGAAGAATAAGAGACAAAATAAACACATAAATATGGAACAGAAACGAAGAAAAATGTAAATATAAAGGAATAGTGAAGGGATACGGACGTAAATATAGTAACAAAAATACAGGAAAGAATATATTATCTAATTCAGGGAATGAAAGGGAATGATAAACTATATAGTGATGAGGAAAAAATAGACAGAATTGAAAAAAAAAAATCAAACGAAGGATAAGAAATATATATGAATATGAACCAAATAATGAACAATGATATGAAATGAACAGAACAATGAAAAAATCTTCCTGGAAATGAACAATACATTTCAAGGCCATAGATCGAGACAAAATACAAGGCAACATAGGCATGAAAAACATGAAAGATAGAAAGAGAGAGAGAGAGAGAGAGAGAGAGAGAGAGAGAGAGAGAGAGAGAGAGAGAGAGAGAGAGAGAGAGAGAGAGAGAGAGAGAGAGAGAGAGAGAGAGAGAGAGAGAGAGAGAGAGAGAGAGAGAGAGAGAGAGAGAGAGAGAGAGGGAGAGAGAGAGAGAGAGAGGGATAATTCAAGCAGAGAGATAGAGAGAGAAAAAAAAGAAAGAAAGAAAGAAGGATAGATAGATAGAAAGAGAGAGGGATTATTCAACCATTTACAACATTCAAAATAAACCTACGGCGGTTCGCTTGACACCTTAATAACCTGAAAGGATTCGGCTTAAATACAGGTCACAGTAACAAGGCGGCGAATCGATGTGTAGGATGGGGGTACTTGACAGGTTGTTGACAGGTTGACAGGTTGATTATAACTGGTGATTGGTTAGTATTGATTGATAGTAGGTTGAGGGGCTGGTGATGACTGATTACAGGTTGACAGGTTGGTTATGATTGATGACTTATTACAGGTTGGTGATGACTGATTACAGGTTGACAGGTTGGTTATGATTGATGACTTATTACAGGTTCGTGATTACTGATTACAGGTTGGTGATGACTGGTTGACAAACGGCGATGACCAAGGGTGATAATTGATGACAGGTTGACAAACTGGTGATGACCAATAATTGTTTGACAGGTTGACAATAGTTGCTGGCAGTTGGGTAATCACTGATGTCAGACTGATAGGCAGGTGCTAATAATTATTTGACAATGTGACAAGTTGGTACTGACAGATGACCAGTTGACAGGTAGTTGATGTTAGATGATAGGATGGCAAATTGGTGATGACGTATGACTTACTGACAAGTATTTGATGACTGACGACTGGCTAGTGACTGATCACAAGACAGGTCGGTGATAATTGATAATAGGTTGACAGGTTGATAATGGGGGATAAAATAATTATATGAAAAAAATCTAGTCTGACATGTTCATTATGATAAATATTAGATAATCTGATAGGTTGATGATAATAAACATTCGAAAATTGACCGGTTGGTGAAAGAAACTGAATGCGTCTATTGGCAAAATATAGTTATGCAAATATAATTATAATTGCAATGAGGAATCTAAGGGAAAACACTTAATTTTCCAAACTAAAAATCCAGTGTTTTAGTGTCTATAAATCATACTAATATGATAGAAACTGCATAAATATTGATGATACGGATTATGAAATCAATACGGAATGAAGTGGATATTGACTTAAAAGCGGATAGTGAATAAAATATTGAGTGAAATGAATGTTAAATATTGTAAATACTGACTGAAATAAATAGTGCATTGAGCCAAAAGCGATTGAAGTGAAAAGTGAATAACGTGAGAGGTTGATAAATATAGTGAAGAGTAACTTAAGTAAAAAGTGAATATAGTAAATAGTGACAAATAAACATTGAATAGTGACTGTAGTAATAAATAAGATACCGACTGAGATATGATATATAGTGACTAGTTAATAGTGACACAAAGAATGAACATACTGATTAACGAATAAGATACAGACTGAAATACATAGTAAATAATTTTAATTAGTAAATAAAATAAGAAGAAATGAATCAGGAAAATGGCGAATAGTGTCCCCCCAAAATTAACAACACATTAAAAATAATACAATTTGAAAAAAAAAGTTTCATGAAAACGAGAGATATGAATGAATGATTCTCAAGATAAAATGGCCGCAAAAGACGCGTTGGCACCCTTCACACTGGAAATATGAATTATTTATCAATTTCGATTTTTTTATCAATTTTTCCATATAATCTATGTTGACCGAAAAATATACTTATTCTTTCAGCGTTTACTCATCCTTGTTTTTTTCTGTCTTAGAATCAATAATGGTGAAGTTTTTCATTTTTCTTTCATTCTTTCATTCTTCTTCCCACAGTAACTTTCTATACATCAACACTTTAAACCAAAATTAAAATGATGTTTTACCATTTTTGAGAAAGAGGAAGTATAAGAAAACCAGGATAATGACAGTGTTTGCTTAACTGCGTCCGAGTCCGTTTCGAATTCGGTTTCGCTCAGAAGGCTTTAGAATATTTTTTAATCTAATCTATTGACAAAATATATCAACAGATAACTTGTTTCAGTTAAATATTCAAGCCAATATAAAGTTTTTTTTTCGACCAGTTTAGAGATGGATAAAGCCTTAGAATAAAAATGAATGAAGAAATGAATAGATAAATAAACCTTGAAAACGCAAGATGGTAACCCATTGCTTACTTTATTCGAAACTGCTTCGAACTCCATTTCAAACGAGGGAGGCATTTTTTTAAAAGCGCCTTGATATGAATATAAATATGGAATGGATGGATATGATTTGGGAAAATATATGGTTCTTTTATATCCGCTTATTTATAAAAAAAGAAAAATAAATACATTTATGAACCGTATTCATGTTGACAAAAATAGAAAAGTATGAATGAGAATGAATACCTTTACAATACAAGAGATTTATTTGACCGGTTTCGAATATATCTCCGTCAGAAATACACGATATATTCGAAACCGGTCAAATTCATCTCCTGTATTGTGAAGATATTCATTCTCATTCATACCTATCTACAAATACATTTCTTTTGGATTTCGCGTTTTCCGAGTCTCTCGACTTACTGGGTACTTACGTATTTATTTATTCTTCCCTTGTGTAAGTTGCTAGAATATAGTATTATCTCTAAGCTTTTAAATGAATGAAAATTAACAATAGTTCACTTTGTATAGGGTATTTGGGGTTTGATGCTTCGAGTGTTATTTCAAATCTTGATAAAGTGAGTCATATGAATACGTGTTACCAATGGCTGGCGTAATTCAGTCTCTGAGTTATGTAGCTTTTAGAACATTGAATCCCCTAATTAGCTGATATTCACAACGATTTGAAGAATATGTTTTTGGTGTCATTCTCAGGATTTTAAGATTACTTTTATCACCTTGCAGTATTCAGCTACATCGTGACAATACAAGTTCCTGCAGTGTATTAAAGACAAATGAATAAGTAGGCCTATTTTCCCATGCTCTAACCTGAGGACTCATCAATCACATTTGTTTGGGCCGATTTCCCATAATTCTCTCGGGGACCAAACAGACGAGCAGATCAATACATTTCAAAGTTCCCAATGGTGGCCTGGCTATTCTGAGCTGTCCTTCAGAAAACGTGCGGGAGTGGTCGCCCTGGTTGAAAAAGCGGTCGTCGTTTTATTTATAAACTGTTCCTCTATGACGACGTCCTTGCGTGTCCTTGTCAGAGCTTTGGACAAAAGGAATCGAGAAGAAAATTACTGACAGCCTAATCCCGCAGCTTAGGGTGGCATTTACGCTATGTGTAAACAAAGTGTTTAAAAGTATTTTTTGATGCATCGTCCCAGATCACGCAGCGTGTGCGGTCCCTGCTTGGGCGACGCCACGCTGCGCTGGAGCCGCTGGGGCGCGATCGAGGCCACGAGGAGCTTTCTTTCGGGCCGCTTTATGGCCGTCAGATGATCTGGCGCGGCCGGGCCTCGAAATCCCGTCGCTTCGGGATTCCGCCTGGCCCGGGATTTAATTGTGTGGCTGGCGTCACGGTGTGAATTATTAGCAGGTCTTTTGGAAATTGCGAGAGGCGGCTTCCTGCTTTCGTGGGCGGGCGCGCGAGACGGATCGTGCACCGGGGGATCCTCGCGGGCGCCGGTGATGGATGGCGTCCCTCCCGACCGCCGGGCTTGTGTTACAAGGAGCGATTTGTCAAGCGGAGACGGAGGAGGAAGGCGGCCTGCAAGGTGTGCCACACGGCGACCCGGGATGCGGAGGATGAGGGGGGGGGGTGCCACACGGCGACCCGGGATGAGGGGGGGGGGGTGCCACACGGCGACCCCGGGATTATAAGGGGGGGGTGCCATACGGCGACCCCGGAATCAGGAGGGGGTGAGAGTGGGGGGTGCACGCGGTGACCGGATCAGGGAGGGGGTGCCACGGTGACCCAGGGATCAGGAGGGGGGTGCCACACGGTGACCGGGATCAGGAGGGGGTGAGGGGGGGTGCACACGGTGGCCGGATCAGGAGGGGTGCCACACGGTGACCCGGGATAGGAGGGGGTGCCACACGGTGACGGATCAGGGGGGGTGCCACACGGGAGACCCCGGGATCAGGAGGGGGTGAGGGGGGGTGCACACGGTGACCCCGGATCAGGAGGGGGTGCACCCGGGATCAGGAGGGGGTGAGGGGGGGGTGCCACACGGTGACCCCGGATCAGGAGGGGTGAGGGGGGTGCCCACACGGCGCCCGGGATCAGGAGGGGTGGAGGGGGAGGGGTGCACACGGTAACTGGATCAGGAGGGGTGGGGGGGTGGGGTGCCACACGGAGACCCGGGATCAGGAGGGGGTGAGGGGGGTGCCACATGGTGACCCGGGGTCAGGAGGGGGGGAGGGGTGCCACACGGAGACCCGGGATCAGGAGGGGTGAGGGGGTGCCACACCCGGGGTCAGGGGGTGAGGGGGGTGCCACACGGCGTCCCGGATCAGGAGGGGATAAGGGGGGGGGTGCACACGGCGATCCCGGGATGAGGGGGGGGTGCCACACGGTGACCCCGGGATTGAGGGGGGGTGCACACGGTGACCCGGGATGAGGGGGGGGGTGCCACACCCGGGATGAGGGGGGTGAACCCCGGATGAGGAGGATTGAGGGGGTTTGCACACGGTGACCCGGGATTTGAGGGTGGGGTGTACAGTGACCCCGGGATCAGGAGGGTGAATGAGATGGGGGGTGCCATCGTTTTACGGGAACACCCGGGATGAGTGGTGCCACACGGGGATAGGATGGGTGAGGGGGTGCCACACGGGTACCCGGGATCAGGAGGTGGGGTGCCACACGGTGACCCGATTAGGATGGGGTAGGGGTTGGGGGTGCCACACGGAGACCCGGGATCAGAGGGGGGGTGCCACACACGGCTGACCCCGGGATCAGAAGGGGGTGAGGGGTGCACACGGTACGCCGGATCAGGAGGGGGTGCACATCGTGGTGACCCCGGGATCAGGAGGGGGGTAGGGGCAACGGTGACCCGGGATCAGAGTGGGTGACGTGACCCGGTACTTCGGATCAGAGGGTTGAGGGGTACCACACGGTGACCAAAGGATCAGAAGGGGGTGAGGGGTGCCACACGGTAACCCGGGATCAATAGGGGTGACACGTGACCCCGGATCAGAAGGGGTGAGGGGGTGCCACACGGTAACCCGGGATCAGGAGGGGTGGCCACCGGTGACCCCGGATCAGAGGGGGTGACCAACGGTAACCCAGGATAGGAGGGGTGCCACACGGTGAACCCGGGATCAGAAGGGGGTGAGGGGTGCCACACGGTGCCCCGGGATCAGGAGGGGGTGCACACGGTGACCCCGGGATCAAGAAGGGGTGTAGGGGTGCCACACACCCCGGATCAGGAGGGGGTGTGCCACACGTAGACCCGGATCAGGAGGGGGTGGGAGGTGCCACACGGCAGACCCCGGGATTGCAGGAGGGGGTGCCACACGGAGGCGGATCAGGAGGGGTGCCACACGGTGACCCGGGATCCAGAAGGGGGTGAGGGGTGCCACACGGTAACCCGGGATCAGGAGGGATGCCACACGGTGACCCCGGGCAAAGGAGGGGTGCCACACACGGGATCAGGAGGGGTACCACATGACCCCAGATCAGAAGGGGGTGAGGGTGCCACACGGAGACCCCGGGATCTGGAGGGGGTGGGTGCCACACTGAGACCCAGGATCAGGAGGGGTCTGAGGGGGTGGGGTTACCACACGGAGACCCCGGGATCAGAGGAGGGTGAGGGTGCCACACGGTGACCCCGGATCAGAGGGGGTGAGGGGTGCCACACGGTAACCCCGGGAATCAGGAGGGTGGTGCCCACACGGTGACCCCGGGATCACCCGGGATCGAGGGGTGCCACACGGGCACCCCGGGGATCAGTGAGGGGGTGCCACACGGGTGAACCCCGGGATCAGAAGGGGGTGAGGGGTGCCACACGGAGACCCCGGGGATCTGGGAGGGGGGTGGGGGTGCCACACTGAGACCCAGGATCAGGAGGGGGTGAAGGGGGGTGGCGGTGCCACACGGAACCCCGGGATCAGGAGGGGGTGGTGGGGTTGCCACACGGTGCCCCCGGGGGATCGGAGGGGGGAAAGAGGGAGGTGCCACACGGGACCCCAGGATCAGAAGGGGGTGAGGGGTGCCACACGGTAACCCCGGGATCAGGAGGGGGTGACAGTGGACCCCGGATCAGAGGGGTGAGGGGGGGTGCCAACACGGTAACCCCGGATCAGACAGGGGATGAGGGGGTGCCACACGGAGACCCGGATCTGGAGGGGTGGGGGTGCCACACTGAGACCCAGGGATCAGGAGGGGGTGAGGGGATGCCACACGGTAACCCCGGGATCAGGAGGGGTAACGAAGAAAGTGCCACACCCCGGTAACCCGGGATCAGGAGGGGGTGCCACACGATTCAGAAGGGATCAGAAGGGTGAGGGGTGCCACACGGTAAACCCCGGATCAGGAGGGGGTGCCACCACGGTGACCCCAGGGATCAGAAGGGGGGATGAGTGGGTGCCACACATGGTAACCCCGGGATCAGGAGGGTGGTGCCACACGGCGGCCCCAGGATCAGAAGGGCCCGGGTGAGGGGTGCCCACACGGCAAACCCCGGGATTCAGTGAGGCGACCCGCCCGTGGCCACACGTGACCCCGGCCGAATCAGAAGGGTTCGAGGGGTGCCACACGGGTAACCCGGGAACCTCAGGAGGGGTGCCCACCGGTGACCCCGGGATCAGAAGTGGGGTGATGCCAAGTGTGCCACACGGACGACACCCGGGATCAGCGAGGGGGTGAGGAGGTGCCACAACGGCTGAACCCGGGGCCAGGAGGGGGTGAGGGAACAGGCTCCATGCCATCCATCCGGTGACCCGGGGTCAGGAGGCGGCGGCCATGGCCGGTGCCACACGGAGACCAAGGATCAGGAGGGGCGTGACCTGGCGCGATGCCACACTGGCTAACCCGGATCAGGGAGCGGCCAGGTTAACCACACACCAGGTGACCCCAGGCCATCAGCAAGCGGAGTGAGGCGGTTGCCACACGGTAAACCCCCGGGCATCAGGAGGGGGTGCCACACGGGTGACCCCAGGATCAGAAGGGGGTGAGGGGTGCCACACGGCAACCCCGGTCAGGCAGGGGTGCCAGCACGGTGACCCAGGATCAGAAAGGGGTGAGGGGGTGCCACACGGAGACCCCGGGATTCTGGAGGGGCTCGGTGGGCCGGTGCCACACCCTTGAGACCCAGGGATCACGAGGCCCGGATTGAGGGGGGCGTGCCACACGGGTAACCCCGCGGAATCCCGCCGAGGGGGTGGGCAGTGCCTCACACTGAGACCCCGGGATCAGTTGAGGCGGCGTGCCAGACCGGGGAGGGGTGCCCACACGGAGACCCACGGTCAGGAGGGATGAGGGTTGCCACACGGTAAACCCGAGAAATCAGGAGGGGTCGGTGAGGGGGTGGGGTGCAACACGTAGACCCCGCGGATCAGGAGGGGTGAGGCGGGGTGGAGGTACCCACACCGGGAGACCCCGGGATCAGAGAGGGCAGTGAGGGATGGGTCCACATGGTGACCCCGGGGTCAGGAGGGTGTGAGGGGGTGGGGTGCCACCGGAGACCCCGGGATCGAGTGGGTGAGGGGGGATGGGGTGCCACACGGGAGACCCGGGATCAGGAGGGAGGGGAAGGGGGGTGCCCAACACGGAACCCCGGGGTCAGGGGGGGTGAGGGGGTGCCACATGGTGACCCGGGTTCAGAGTTCAGGAGGGGGTGAGGGGGGAGGGGTGCACAGGGACCATGGGCTTCAGGAGGGGTGAGGGGGGGTGCCACATGGGACCCCGGGGGTCAGGAGGGGGTGAGGGGAGGGTGCACACGGAGACCCAGGGATCA